TCTACCCACCAGTCTACCCATCAATCTACCCACCAATCTACCCACCAGTCTACCCATCAATCTACCCACCAATCTACCCACCAGTCTACCCATCAATCTACCCATCAATCTACCCATCAATCTACCCATCAATCTACCCACCAATCTGCCCATCAATCTACCCACCAGTCTACCCACCAGTCTACCCATCAATCTACCCATCAATCTACCCATCAATCTACCCACCAATCTACCCACCAATCTACCCACCAGTCTACCCACCAGTCTACCCATCAATCTACCCATCAATCTATCCATCAATCTACCCACCAGTCTACCCATCAATCTACCCATCAATCTACCCATCAATCTACCCACCAATCTACCCACCAATCTACCCACCAGTCTACCCACCAGTCTACCCATCAATCTACCCACCAATCTACCCACCAGTCTACCCATCAATCTACCCATCAATCTATCCATCAATCTATCCATCAATCTACCCATCAATCTACCCATCAATCTACCCACCAATCTACCCATCAATCTACCCACCAATCTACCCACCAGTCTACCCATCAATCTACCCATCAATCTACCCATCAATCTACCCATCAATCTACCCACCAATCTGCCCATCAATCTACCCACCAGTCTACCCACCAGTCTACCCATCAATCTACCCATCAATCTACCCATCAATCTACCCACCAATCTACCCACCAATCTACCCACCAGTCTACCCACCAGTCTACCCATCAATCTACCCATCAATCTATCCATCAATCTACCCACCAGTCTACCCATCAATCTACCCATCAATCTACCCATCAATCTACCCACCAATCTACCCACCAATCTACCCACCAGTCTACCCACCAGTCTGCCCATCAACCTACCCATCAATCTACCCACCAGTCTGCCCATCAATCTATCCACCAATCTACCCACCAGTCTACCCATCAATCTACCCATCAATCTACCCACCAGTCTACCCATCAATCTATCCACCAATCTACCCACCAATCTACCCATCAATCTACCCACCAATCTACCCATCAATCTACCCACCAGTCTGCCCATCAATCTATCCACCAATCTACCATCAATCTACCCATCAATCTACCCACCAGTCTACCCATCAATCTACCCATCAATCTATCCATCAATCTATCCATCAATCTACCCACCAGTCTGCCCATCAATCTATCCACCAATCTACCCACCAATCTACCCATCAATCTACCCATCAATCTACCCATCAATCTACCCATCAATCTACCCACCAATCTACCCACCAGTCTACCCATCAATCTACCCACCAGTCTACCCATCAATCTACCAATCAATCTACCCACCAATCTACCAATCAATCTACCCACCAATCTACCCATCAATCTACCAATCAATCTACCATCAATCTACCCATCAATCTACCCACCAATCTACCCACCAGTCTACCCATCAATCTACCCATCAATCTACCCATCAATCTACCCACCAATCTACCCATCAATCTACCCACCAGTCTGCCCATCAATCTACCCATCAATCTACCCATCAATCTACCCATCAATCTACCCACCAATCTACCCATCAATCTACCCACCAGTCTACCCATCAATCTACCAATCAATCTACCCACCAATCTACCAATCAATCTACCCACCAATCTACCCATCAATCTACCCATCAATCTACCCATCAATCTACCCACCAATCTACCCATCAATCTACCCATCAATCTACCCACCAGTCTACCCATCAATCTACCCATCAATCTACCCATCAATCTACCCACCAATCTACCCATCAATCTACCCACCAGTCTGCCCATCAATCTACCCATCAATCTACCCACCAATCTACCCACCAGTCTACCCATCAATCTGCCCGTCAATCTAACCATCAATCTACCCACCAGTCTACCCATCAATCTGCCCATCAATCTACCCACCAATCTACCCATCAATCTACCCACCTGCTCACCAGTCTACCCATCAATCTATCCATCAATCTACCCACCAGTCTACCCATCAATCTGCCCATCAATCTACCCACCAATCTACCCATCAATCTACCCACCTGCTCACCAGTCTACCCATCAATCTATCCATCAATCTACCCACCAGTCTACCCATCAATCTGCCCATCAATCTACCCACCAATCTACCCACCAATCTACCCATCAATCTACCCACCTGCTCACCAGTCTACCCATCAATCTACCAATCAATCTACCAATCAATCTACCCATCAATCTACCCACCAGTCTGCCCACCAATCTACCCATCAATCTACCCACCAATCTACCCACCAATCTACCCATCAATCTACCCACCAATCTACCCATCAATCTACCCACCAATCTACCCATCAATCTACCCATCAATCTACCCACCAGTCTACCCACCTGCCCACCAGTCTACCCATCAATCTACCCACCAGTCTGCCCACCAATCTACCCATCAATCTACCCACCAATCTACCCACCAATCTACCCATCAATCTACCCACCTGCTCACCAGTCTACCCATCAATCTACCAATCAATCTACCAATCAATCTACCCATCAATCTACCCACCAGTCTGCCCACCAATCTACCCATCAATCTACCCACCAATCTACCCACCAATCTACCCATCAATCTACCCACCAATCTACCCATCAATCTACCCACCAATCTACCCATCAATCTACCCACCAGTCTACCCACCTGCCCACCAGTCTACCCACCTGCCCACCAGTCTCCCCACCAATCTACCCAAAAATCTACCCAAAAATCTACCTATCAATCTACCCACCAATCTACCCACCAATCTACCCACCTGCCCACCAGTCTCCCCACCAATCTACCCATCAATCTACCCATCAATCTACCCACCAATCTACCCACCAATCTACCCACCAATCTACCCACCAATCTACCCACCTGCTCACCAGTCTACCCAACAATCTACCAATCAATCTACCCATCAATCTACCCACCAGTCTGCCCACCAATCTACCCATCAATCTACCCATCAATCTACCCATCAATCTACCCACCAATCTACCCACCAATCTACCCATCAATCTACCCACCAATCTACCCATCAATCTACCCACCAATCTACCCATCAATCTACCCACCAATCTACCCATCAATCTACCCACCTGCCCACCAGTCTCCCCACCAATCTACCCACCAATCTACCCATCAATCTACCCACCAATCTACCCACCTATCTACCCTCCTGCATACCAACCTACAAACTCATTTTCAAAACATCTCCCAGTCAAGTCTCATTACCATTTGGTGCATCCAACCCATAGAGGAATCATGGTCAAAATAGCAAAATACTTGATTTTCTTACGTCATCCTATGAAAATATTGGTCAGTGGGGTGACATAAAGAACTGACCCTCTTGTGCTGACCTCCTGTTATTAGAGGGGAAGGACAAAGACTCATAGATTCCACATTTCAATCCAAAGAACAAGTAAAGAAAATTAAAACCATAACCCTTTTATGTTCGTGTATAAGTAAAAAGTATTTTTTTCCATTTATTTATTGATTTCATAACTTCTCCATTTCACTATCAAGGGCAATCACTTACTAAACACACTATCCCAGGTACATTACACCAGCCAGTGAACATCTACCGTATTCGACGTAATAAGCGCCCAGGGCGCTCTCAAAATTAGAAATATGGAGCTCTTATTAGAATATTATTTTGGTGATAAAAAACAGAGTTGGAAGATAAATTTTGTGGTTTATGCTGACAGCCTGAAATGTTTATATGCGACAGATATATTATTCCAGAATTTAATTGCCCATAATTTAGGTTGCATATAACACACGAGTGCATATTATACGCGAAAAAATAAGTCTTGTGTACATTGATCAATCGGAAGGGGTGCTAATTGGGATTGTTCACTAGCCAATATATTAGCAAATTTTGCCGTGGGCGCTTATTAGAGCTGGACCCTTATTACGTCGAATACGGTATTAATGAAAGTCTGAATACTACACTGATAGATAATCTCTTGTTTGCCATTGCTGATCATATGAACGTCCACCAGATAACAAAACGTGCATGCCCTAAAAAAAGCAACATGTATTTCCTAAGCCACATAAACACCTCCTTCTTAGCTACCAAGACATTGCCATGAGGTTCACAGATGGTGCCAGGGATTAACATGTATTAACTGAACAACTGGTGATGCTCACATGATGGAGATGTTACAGGGGATTAACAGTTAATCTTAGAATTGCTGCCAGAGGATTGTGTAAAGATGTTCTTCAGACAGTGTCTCATTATATAAGTTGGTTGGATTTGTCTATGAAGTGAGTTGTAACTTTGTGTTTTTTAATTTCTCCTATTTCACAATGTATATTTCTCTCTACCATATTACATGTTGTAAATTGGTTTAGGTTTATTGCAAGGTGGAAGAAAGCTACTCCCAGGGTACAGTTGATTTGTTTATTTGTAAGGACACAACAAATTAATTGTTGAGTTCTTTCCCCAAAATAGTTTTAGGGTTAGAAACTGTATTGTCATATTACTGTATTCAGCTTGCCAGACATGGTTAAACAATAGGGACACTTTCATATTAATTAGCCCCTGCTAAAGAATAAAAACTTCTAACTGGAACTTAAGACCTATAGTTGATAATTCACTAGTTATTAAAACAACATCTATCAAGAAAACTATTCAAATTCTTATTTTGTTAATACCAAATCTGTGTTGTCATTTGTGAATATACATAAAAAATTCTCCCAATCCTGAATAAATCATTACTTCTGAGTGGCCAAAATGATAATATTCAGTTTAAGAGGTATGACTAGCCTCTCTTACAGACCCTGAAAAAGAAATATCCAAAAAATCCGAAGCATGTCTACATTTCTTCATATTCTCTGGTCTCCCTTCTATGATATTAAAAGTCAATTTTATACAAAAGATATTTAAATGTGTTCATTTCAGAGGCTAAATGTCAGTCTAAGATATGACAACTGATGTTAATTTTGTATTAACAGGGAGGAGGAGGGACAGAGGTACCTGACAATGGAGGAGGAACAGCAGGGATTCCGAGACCCGAATGTCCGTGGCTGCATTGACCTTGTCAACACCAGCACAGAGTCTCCGGTGAGCATTTGCAGTAGCAGTGGTGATGAGGGCCATGACGACACCGGCTACAGCAGCGGCTACAGCCACACCACCGACTCCAACAGTCCCCATACCACAGGCTGCTTGAACCTGTCTTCTCCCGACACCCACAATCCACCAGAGCATGGGGATGACTCGGTGCTCGACTACCCAATGACAGATGTCAGCCAGATAGAGAATCTTCAGAGGGACACTTCAGACCCTGTGAGCCAAGCTGTGACAGCTATGTCCAATGCCCTTGACCCATTCTTGAGTTCATTCAGAGAGGAGCTAGGGCTTGAAGGTCCACCAGCTGAGGATGGAATGGATCTGTTGGATGACTTGCTGAAGAGTATGGAGGAAGAAGAGTCTGTGTCTCCACCACCACCACCTCCAGCTTTGCCAACTGTCCCGAATGATCCTACGATTAATGTTCCCGAAACAGGTAGACACAAGTCTCTTTTGCGGTCACTCCTTGACAGGGGTGATAAATCTACAAGTACAAGTAAATCCACCATAGACTATACGTTTTCCTCCTCAGGACCTGTTTTGAAAGATGCTGTGTTATTTTCAACATCAAGTTTGACAAGTGTTCAGCCAAATAAAACAATCAACACAATGTCTATATCCACCATACCATTTACTTCCAATGATTCCCAGACTCAGACTCTTATTCCTCAAATCACTAGCCCCAGTTCAGTACTAAGTGAGCAAGTAGTAGGGACAATAGATACATCAAGCGTCACTGTCCCCCAGCCAGATCCCTTCATCCCAGAAGACTTGCTAGACTTTGCCATGCAGTACTGTGACAGTATTCCTGATGAGCAATCCCAAGCCATCATCACCAGCTATGGTCAAGATCTGTGGTGCAGTGGCGTGGACGACCTCATCACAACCTTTGCTGATGTCCAGCAATCCACCACCGAGCCAGTGATGTCCTCTGCAGTCAACACAAATCCAGCTAAGGGTCCTCCTCCAGAAGGTCCTCAAGCCACGCCTGAAGTAAGCTACATAGATCTGGATAACTGCAACAGGAAAGCCCTGAACCCAATTTCTGGTATGCAGAATCAGTGTCAAAATACACAGTCCTCTCCAGGTGTTTCAAAGGATTTCTCAACACAGACATTGTTTGATGTTCTTAGCAACAGAAATACCTCTCAGTTAAAAGATTCCAAGAGCAACAAGAGTGTATTCATCCAACCACTGAGGGCCACTCCTCGGCCAGTTGTTAGTCACACTGTTTCCAGTTCAGCATTAGTGAAAGGTCCATTTACCAGTAGGTGCGCTGTCAGTTCAGAGTCTGAGAGATGTCAGAAGTTGACATTTAGGACTGTTCCAACTCCACATCCAAGGTTCCCCTGCAGTTCTGTGGGGGGCTCAGTGGGACGAGGACACACAACCACAGTATCTGCTGCCTGTGTTAGTCCCAGGTGTGGCAAGTCATTAGTGTCAGTTCTATGTGACAAAGGTGCTGCTTCACCAAGTTCATGTTCATCCAAATCCTCAACCATTGTTGGTCCAAGTCATCAGCCAACACAGACAGCTTCAAGTAGACATTGTGAACAGGTAACTGCTAAGCCATCTGAGGGCATGTCAGAACTAGAGAAATACTTACGTGGGTACATCAAAAGACCGCACGCTGACAAAGCAGCAGAGTGTGTGATCCCGCCCCAACTCTCCACTTCCCCACCAGCAAACACGCCCTTCCTTCAGAAGCTGCTGACTGGTGAACTCTCACATGAACACTACAGAGAGATTGACTCACAGATGCTCAAGCAAGAGAAACAACGTCGGTCATCTACTCACTCATTGCCAGAGGTGAAGGGCTGATGAAGGCCATGTTGTGTCTACTAGCTACCTAATTCACGGATATAATGGAGTGTGATAAGAAAAGTTGTAAATCGTATTTCATCTGTACAAAACGGCCCGTGGCCTACAAGTACTGAATGAAGTGAAGAAGTGAAGTGAAGACAAATTGTAGTGTGATTCCAAGGCTGTCAATTCAAGGAATAGAAGATGAAGACGACACAGATGTGTTAGCTGCCTGACAAATCAGCTGGATAAAATATTGTTTGGAAAAAGCAATGTGTGATACGAAGACAGATTTGATAGTTTGATCCCGGAGTGATGTGAGACCTCCTAATCCTTGATATACAGTTTGATGATGATGATGTTGGCATTGTTCATCAGATGATGTGTGCTATAATATTCCTTTCACTGACAGACAGGAGGGCTTATTCACCATGATATCTCTTTCATGTCTGTAGGGTATATGCAGTGAAATCCTGTTAATACAGAGGATTCTATTCCTGTTGAATTGCTGTGTGATACATTTCTGGATTATTGATTCTGGGTTATCATGGAGACTGTTGAGTGCCCAGTCAGATTCATATAGATGTTCCACATGCAGTTTGTCCAGAAGGTGCGATTGTTACTGTTTGTAATGCTTTAATATGTAGAATGCCTTAAGAAAAGGCTTGTCATGTCATTACATACACTTACTTTTATTGTGGAGGTGGTGGGGGTAGCCTAGTAGTTAAGTGTTCGCTTATCATGCTGAAGGCCTGGGTTTGATTCTCCCCATGGGTACAATGTGTGGTGTCAGTCTGTGTCCCTTGCTGTGATATTGCTGGACTGTTGCAAAAAGAGCAGCATAAAACCATGCTCACTCACTTATCCTCACTCACTTACGTTTATTGTAAAAATAATTTTGTCCTGATGATGAATATATATTTGATGCGTTATCCAAAACATATCCAACCCTTAAACTGTGTATGAGACTCAAATCGACACCAGAAATAATTTGACACGAATCCTCAATCAAGTCTTTGAAAGGCATTTAGAAGTGATACACTTAAGGAAGACAATTTATAGATGTCAGCTTCTTTATGATGAGAAACACAATGTTTCGGAGTACACGCTTACTCCTTCATCACCTGAAGTTGTTTGCCTCATAATAAATAAGTTGACATCCATAAATTGGTTTTCTTACAAATCGTCAATGTCTTGAATTATCAAAGCTGGGAACATTTGAAATATTTTGAATTGTTATCCCAGTGTAAATGTTGGAACAATTTATCTGTAGTGGCTTACATAAATGCCCATCAGGTTTCTTAAATATCGATCTGTACCTGTTGCCTATTTGTAGTCAGTGCTCAGTTATTTAGGGATTGACGTCAATGGGTTTTTTTTGTTTATGGGGGTATAAATATAATAACCGGTATGCAGACTTTGTTAATCCATGTCACATATTGATTATATTGAAGTCAATTCTTTATAAATAAATATATCAACAATAATAATTTCGTAGTCTGGTTATTTAATCCTTAACACAAGAAACTACAGACAATAACAAGAAATCAGTTAGATCATTCAGCGCAGTGATGCAGCACAAGGCCTGTTCTATGATCAGCCAATCAGGAAACAGTAGTCTGTGTGTGGCTTTGGCCTAATTTTGAAGATGAGCTGGACTCAGTGTAATCTGTGAACGCTTCATTCAATCAGGCCATTTTAGACATTTTAAGGCCTTTTATCTGATATTAGTTGGTTTACAAAATATTTGCCCTTACACTCAATGCAGTTGGTAAGGAAAAAATAAAAAAATAAAATAATTTTCATCTTCCAGGTTAGTACTGCTACTGATGAAAGGATTACAAAAAAATACCAAAAGATAATTCATCATTTTTTGTGTTAGAATAAAGATTGTTATAGGTATTATTCACCATTTCTTCAAGCACCAGTGATAACATCTCATATTATTTTTTCATTTCACCTAATTGAGAAACAGAGTTGTCCCTAAACAAACTTTAAAACTTTTTTTCTTATTTCAGTTTTCTTTTTTTTCGGTTTACACAGGGCACTAACCAACATTCACAAAACGCTCTTAGCGGTGTGACAGATGTTGGTCTGTGTCAAAGTATCGGGTTATGATCATCTTAGTGCTAAGCTGTCTCTGGGGAATGAGGCCTTGGACTGAAGATGTCCATCTGTCCATTGATATCATAGCTTCTATAACTGTTGCCTCACTGATAATCTTTGAGTGATTCTCCCTAACTCCAACTGTGATTTGATTCCAGTGACTTAAGGTCTTAAAGTTGAGTAGAGGACTTGTTATGAGCAGAACAAACCTCCATATCTCCCTAGTCCTAGACACGGCTGTTAGGTTAGACTCAACAAAGCATGTTTTATGTAGGCCATGGATTGTATTTTTAAAAAATCAGAAAAAAACCATGAGGATTTAATAATTAATGTTTGAAATGACGTAAATTGAATGACAATAAAAAAATGGATTCTAAATAAGGATTTTTTTAATCCATATGTGTCCTCAAATGTTATGACCTGTCATTATTGGTCTATTTCCTACAATGGCAAGTTTTAAATGACAACTGAATTCTGTTTAAGCCACCATCAACACTTTTACAGCTATATCTGCAGCATTTATTAGAGGACATACATGTCACATTCATCTTGTCATAGAATAGTCTTGTAGAATAGGTCTTAAAAAACCCATGCTTGCCGTAAAAGGTGACTATGCTTGTCGTAAGAGGCGACTAACAGGATCGGGTGGTCAGACTCTCTGACTTGGTGGATGCATGTCATCGTATCCCAATTCTGTGGATTGATGCTCATGATGTCAATCACTGAATTGTCTGGCCCAGACTCGATTATTTACAGACCGCCGTCATATAGCTGGAATATCGCTGAGTGTGGCTTGTAACAACAAACAAACAAACAAACAAAAGAATAACATATTGGCATCACGTCATCATTTGCTTGATGATGTCATTTACTTCATGTGATGTCATCGGGCTTGTCCACTCCAGATCTCAGTCAGAACATTGGCATTTTAAACTCTTCTATCATTAACATTGTGTGATATAGACAGTCATGTAATATTGTGTATACTGTTCTACAAATTGATAGCATAAATGTACCACATATAGATAGGTGTATAAACCATTGCTTTATTCCTTTGTCCATGTTCAAGTGGGGTGTTCGGAAACAACCTACTTGTCTCTACCCCACTGACACAGGAACTTGTCATATTTGATAACCATTTTAGTAATGCAGGCATGTCGCATGTGTTCAGGATAGGAGGTTGTGTAAATGTTATAACATGTCACATGCAGTCAGATCACACGTTTATAATGTTATAACATCACATGCAGTCAGATCACATGTTATATAAATGTCATAACATCTCATGCAGTCAGATCACATGTTATATAAATATTATAACATGTCATATAGTCAGATCACATGTTATATAAATGTTATAACATGTCATGCAGTCAGATCACATATTTTAAAATGTTATAACATCACATGCAGTCAGACCACATCTTATATAAATGACATAACATCAAATGCAGTTGATCACATGTTAAATAACTGTTATAACATGTCATGTAGTCAGATCACGTTATATAAATGGCATAGCATCAAATGCAGTCAGATCACATGTTATATAAATATCTCATAACATTTCACATGCAGTCAGATCACATGTTATATAAATGGCATAACCTCACATACAGTCAGATCACATGTTATATAAATGGCATAACATAACATGCAGTAAGATCACATGTTATATAAATGGCATAACATCACATGCAGTCAGATCACATGTTATATAAATGGCATAACATAACATGCAGTAAGATCACATGTTATTTAAATGGCATAACATCAAATGCAGTCAGACCACATGTTATATAGTGTTATAACATCACATGCAGTCAGATCACATGTTATACATATGTCATAACATCTCATATAGTCAGATCACATGTTATATAAATGTTATTACATGTCATGTAGTTTGATCACATGTTATATAAGTGTTATAACATGTCATGCAGTCAGATCACATGTTTTAAAATGTTATAACATCACATGCGGTCAGACCACATGTTATATAAACGACAACATCAAATGCAGTCAGATCACATGTTATATAACTGTTATAACATGGCATGTAGTCAGATCACATGTTATATAAATGGCATAACATCACATGCAGTTAGATCACATGTTATATAAATGTCATAACATGCAGTATGATCACATGTTATATAAATGTCATAGCATCAAATGCAGTCATATCACATGTTATATAAATGTCATAACATTTCACATGCAGTCAGGTCAAAAGTTATATAAATGTCATAACAGCACAGTCAAGTCACGATGTAGATCACCGGCTGTATAAATGTATGTATTCAGAAAAGATCAAATTTGTTCTCCAGTGATGAACTGAATTTAGGAATTGTTTTCAGTATCAACTAAACTTGTTTGGAAACTGAAACTGGCATTGTTATGTTATCCAATCAAGCCCTCTGAATGAGATGTATTCTCTCCCATCTCTGTGTCATCATGTCGATAAATCTCCCCCTTGTGCATATGATAGGGTGCTAGCCAAAACCTCCATCACTCCTCCAAATATGTTTTATAAGAGTGATGTGTAATTTTTATATATTTACAATATGTATTGAAATGATATGATATTGTTAAATCTGTATGACTTTAAATCTTTTGATAAACTGTTACCTGTTATGTCATTGTTACTGTTAAAGGGCTACAAAATAAATATACTTGTCTTTGAGGCTCCATAGCATATGTCTGTAAGGTGGCAGTATATTCTGATTAAAACAGTTAGTTTTCTTTGCTTTGAAAACAGCTTACAAGCCATCTTTATCCTTTATAACGTCCCTGCTTGAGAACCTACTGCTGCTTTGTTCTCATATGCTTGTTATCTTGCATTTAATGTGAAATCAGAGTCACTTCTCCGCAGTGATGGTAGCATGGCTGTACAAGTGCATGGAACATATACGAGGGGCGTTCAATAAGTTTTGCAAATTCAATATAAGACCAAGTGGCAGAATATCTTTTGCACTTTTATTTTTCAATATAATCTCCATTCACCTCAATACACTTATTCCATTTGTCCTTCAAGCTTTTAATACCACTTTTATAGAAATCCGCAGATTTGCTCTCTAACCACACTGTAGGGTGGGTGATTTAACTGTACAGCCCAGACTTAGCCCCCAGTGACTATTTCCTGTTCCGGCAAATGAAATCTGATCTACGTGGAAGATGCTTCCAGGATGACGAGGACATAAAGGCTGCCACAGAGGCGTGGTTAGAGGGCCAATCTGTGGATTTCTATAAAAGTGGTTTTAAAAGCTTGAAGGACAAATGGAATAAGTGTGTTGAGGTGAATGGAGATTATATTGAAAAATAAAAGTGCAAAAGATATTCTGTGACTTGGTCTTATATTGAAGTTGCAAAACTTATTGAACACCCGTCGTAGCTGAAGCCATCCATGGTTTGATTCTCTGTTGTACAGTTGTAAGGCCAGACCAAATTTATTTGGACACGTTTAGCCCAGTTTTTGCAAAAGTATTTTTTTTAAATATTTCGATTCATAATCATAAAAATATTGTTGGCCCCTGTCTAGTGGAATATCAGTCAAGAAAATATCTGTAAAAACAAAAGCAAAAAATTGGCCTGGGCTAAAAGAGACACTACAGAGGTTTTTTATGCTATTCATCATCAGCACAACATCTAAGGTGACACTGTGTTTGTTTTATCAAATTTATGATGTATGTTTTACTGCAACGTGATATAGAAAAACAAATCTTGAAATAAGTCATTTATATGTCTGTTTTGTGTGATGACGTTATTATGAGGGCAATCCCAGCAGGGCTATAGGCTAAGAATAGATTTATAAAAACAGATCACTGGACCCTGTTTCTATACATTAAGATTGTGCAGGAGAAAACCATTTCATGATCAGCATCATATGAAAATGTAGGAGGCTTTGTGTGTTGAATATTCAATTAAACATTTTGTTGTCACAAAATTTTAAGAAGAGTGTAATAAACAAACAAATAAACTTTACAAAGAGTGAACACAAAGTGTTGCTTTATACAAAAAAATTAAAAAACAACCAAGGCAACCTTTAACCTTCTGACCTTTAACCTTCTGACCTTTAACCTTCTCTGTTGTGATTCCTGCCTGATGTCATGATCAGCTGATGTGAATAAAACTGAAATAGCATTTATTTAGTCATTATTGGGAAAACTGTTTGTGCTTTGCAAAATATGAGAAAGAAGGGCCAGTCTGGGATGATTCCATATTCTATGCTGTATTTCCAAAGAAGCACTTCTAAGCACTGGGTGCTAATGTCACATGTGTAGCACATATATGTGACTGACTTTATGCAATCAGATGCACATGTTTACCGTGCTCACTGGTCAATATTGGGGGTTAAGACAAACTTGGTCCTGTTTTTAGAGAATTAGTTACCAGTGTAATGACAGATTCCATTCATACCTCAGTGCAGAGTATCCTGCACCGGTGACAACCAAATGGCAATTCAATGTTATGACACTTGTAGGATAGACCCAAGTTAAAGTGTGTCACAGTAGGGTAGACCCAAGTAATAAGGTGTCTCACTGTAGAACAGACCCCGTTAAGTTTCTCACTGTAGAACAGACCCAGTTAAGTGTCTCACAGTAAGGTAGACCCTAGTTCAGTGTGTCACTGAATGTTAGACAGAGTTAATCACAAGGTTGGCTGTTATTGAAGTACCACAAAACATTGCATGGTTGTAAATAGGGATTTATCAAAGTGTTCTCATGAATTAAAGATTTCCTAATTGAGGTTATTATGATTTATTGATATGAGTTATGTATATATTTGCAAAGATGATCTCTATTTCACTCATAACAGGATGAAAAACAGAGGAAAATACTTTGATCATTAATTTTTCATTTTTGCATTGGATGCAGTGTTAAAATACTTCCATATTTAAGAACATAAGGATGTTGATATACTCTAATTTTAGATAACATTTTTTCCAAATTTGCCTGCCATTGAACATCCTAGATAAATCCCTGTGACTGCATGTGTGAGTGATGTAAGGGAGGTAACTCTCACTATGTGTGATCTGACTACTGTATGAGTTAGTTGGTGGGAGAAAACTGCCCTACATGAGAATATGAAATTTGGGAGCCATAAATCTTACTCAAAATGACATGGTTGTAATTTTGAATAATATTTTCAGTTTTTGGTTCATCCATTTCCCATGAATTTCCTCATTCGGTCTTGTTTGGGCATCATAATTCTTGATCATATCATTGCAGGTACGAGTGGGTGTCTTGCACCTCTGACTGTACCAATGTCAGCTATCTCATGCCATCCTCGTCTGTAGATGCTACGATTGTTTGACAACAACACAAGCAAATACATTCCAAGTACTGAGTTGTGTAAGCACTGTTTGTGATGTTGAATCATTGTTGATACAAGTCTTTCATCATTGTTAAAACTGCTCAGTGTGCACAGTTCTTGCCACTCATTCTCACTGGACAGCCTTAATCATCATGATTGTGGACACTCTCTATCATGAGGAATATTACTATTCATGTAATTTTATCATTTATTAGATTATAACATCTGTGATGTAGCTGGATTAGTGCGGACTGCGGTGTAAAATAACATAACAGTGTTAAATTGATTAACTGGTATGCTGTTTAAGATAATCAGGGGGAGTGTCTTTGTACTGAGTTTGTCATCTAAGTGCTTCGCTAATTTGTTTAAACTACGTACCTCCATCACTCATGACTACATAAATGCCGTGTGGTGACGCATGTCTTATTTTAGTCAGCTTATAGAATGAGGCTGTGCAAGGGCAGATCAAGCATTTTTAAAAAGAGGGGTCCAAAATTCAAAGTTGTCTCTCAATCAGTTTTACTGCTTATGACATACTACATATGGTTTTCAAAAAGGGGTGTCCAGACCCCCTGCCCCCCCCCCCCCCCGGATCTGCCTATGCTGTAAATAACTGATAGAATTTCAACAAGACCTACATGGGGTGTTCAGTATCAGGTTAAAAATCAGACAAGCGCTGGGCCCTCAATAAGAAAGATGGCACCCCTTGATATACTCGATCCCAAAAGAAACTCACAACTAAAGTATGGACACGATCGCTAGAGATGTGTTATTGATGCATCATGTGTGCTGACACAGGTCTGTGTGGGTTCCATCTGTCTGTCTGGCAGTAGTGAACGCTGGTAGGTGGCGTTCACGCAAGTGAGATGGGAGATAACTCATGTTTGACCTAACGACCTTACACATGGGTGTCCACAACTCGGGCTATCCTGCACACTTTTTGTCAATAAGACTGTAGATCTCAGGGGGTCGAATCATGAACTGCAGATTCTGTGGCTTATTACCGTATATGACCGTAGATAAGATGAATTTTTGAGGTCCAGAATAAAGATTCTATACAATGGGTACGGCTTATGTACAGGATACACTTTCGTGAAAGTATTTTTCAGATCCTGATCTGTCAGAACATCGTCTGAAGGACAGAATGGTACAAGTAGATTACAACTTCTTGAAACTTTGAAAGTTTGACTACAACCATTATTGTTATAGATGATCAATAAAATTATTATCATACACAAATGTTGACATTATTAAATAATTTTATGCATGTAACTATTTTCAATAATAAGTTCAAGGTTTATCACTGTTCATAAACTCCATGATCATATAATTACAACATTTTTCATCGTACATTCATGAATACCTGCAAGTAGTCTTACCGTCCAACTTCGTGATGTGTTGTTGCCTATCACACCCTGGTCTGACTCATGTACGGGACATATGATGTACATGTACCTCAGCCTCATCTATGAGATTGACTTATCTATGGGCATATACGGTACTGTAGTGATTAGCAAGCTGAAGTATTTTCCAAACTGCATCGTGCACGATATATGTCAACAGGGACAGGTCATGTATTGTGAGGTTGACTGGCCAGAGAGAATAATGAGGGTCAACAAAAGCATGACAAGTTTTGTAGAGAGTCTTAATAAACTGTACTTTTAAAGGGAAGAGATTGTATTACAAACTGAAATGTCCAAATATTTGTTTTATTAAAATGGTGATTAGAATTTGGTAGGATCAAACCTTCAATTAGCAATGGTTGTATTTGTTGGAATAAATAACCAAGGGCCAATTTCACACAGTAATCACACAACATTATCCCTTTAAGAGACTTATGGTAATCGAAGCATCATGATGGGTGTGGGAAACGTCCCATACTGATAAACTTTGATGTTTACAATTTTGTTTCTTGTACATATATATAGAGAGAATGGTGCTCATGTTAATTATTAAACCTTGTTTAAATTTGAAAGACTTTTACCTTGTTGTTGTACTTCATAATTATTCAAATATTTCTATAATTTTGAAATATAATTATCAGATATTTCATTATTAATGATTCATATGTATATGCATAACATGTCCATTTGCTTGTGATATCATGTACCTTTGTCATAATTATGCTCGTGCATTCATTATGAAATATACCTTTGTCAAAATTATGCTCGTGCGTTTATTATGAAATGTACCTTTGTCATAATTATGCTCGTGCGTTCATTATGAAATGTACCTTTGTCATAATTATGCTCGTGCAATTATTATGAAATGTACCTTTGTCATAATTATGCTCATGCGTTTATTATGAAATGTACCTTTGTCATAATTATGCTCGTGCGATCATTATGCCATGTACCTTTGCCATGATTATGCTTGTGCGTTCATTATGCAACATACATTAACAATGACTATGCTGGTGCGTTGATTATGCCAGCATGTGCTACTTGCATTACCTTGTTTAGACACTGTTCTGCTACCAGGAATGTGAAATACATGCTTAGAGGAGCAAGGGTGTGAGAGAGAGAGTGATTTGTGAAAGCCGTTTTTGACAGTATTTTCGTTACAGCTTGTCAACCTGACCGTGTTACCGTGTGAGGCAAGGCCAATGTGACACAGGTTGTAGACATGAGCCCTGGTATGGTGCTAACAAACTAAGGATGATAATCAGGCTGAATCTTGGATTCAAACTCATGACCAACACATCCCAGCCATTAAGGGAGACAACTCTGCACAACCACAGATACGTGTTCCTCATGTAGAAAGGTGGTAAGGGCGAGGAATTGCCACGTGATCCAAACTCACCCAGTAATAAGATGAACATGGTGTGCTTCATATATAAAAGGGTTATACATATATTTCCAGAAAGAAGTTACCAATCTCAGCCGTAGTCGTAGAACATAACCAAATTCAAGATGAATGGTATTGACTTCAAATATTAATATGTATTTGTACTGTGTACCAGCTGAATTGACAAGTGTTATTTATTCATCTGAAGACATGCATGCATTCTGAAACAATTTCACATCACGTGTCCACATTTGAGTGGCTACAAGAAAATTGACTTTTCATTGTTTTTGCCCAAGAGGGAGAAGAGAGCGTTTGATGCACTTTTAGTGCTGCTATCCCTTTGATAAAAAAAATCCTAGAAAGTCTGTGTATTGAAGAATAAAAAGCAGTGTCTTAAGTTCAACTAACAGTGACAGTGTTACTGTTATATGAATCTCTCTGAAACGACAGTACTCCCACGATTCTTCTGATTCTTTACTTTCTGTTTCGTGTAACCATGGTAACAGTATTGGATCCTATCTTGTGTCCTCTGTTGGGATTCCCAGGCAGAATTAGCCAGTACTCTTTATAAGAGGTGACTAAAGTGAGCTGTAGGTTGTCATATCCTGACTGCATGGATCGTTGTTCATGTTGTCAACCACCTGTTTGCCAAACCCAGATTTGATTATTTACAGATCACTATGAAATGACTGTTAATTGTTTTCTGTAGCATATAACATTCACACACTAATCCTCTCATGTGTAACCATGGTAATATGACTGGATCCTGTCTCATGGGTAAACATAGTAACATGACTGGATCCAACATAGGTGTAACCATGGCAACATGATTGGATCCCACCTCATTTGTAATCAGGAATGTCCAGACATAGCCCATCCTCTTTATTCCTTTACATTTTAACAAATCCTGAAGTTTTATATCTGCATGTCATCTCATCATACTTGATCCCCCATCAAGTTGGATTCATTATGTTAATATTACCCAGTGTGCAGCGATTTCCTCTGTACTGTCAACTATCCGTGAACATGTTCAGGTTGTCTCCGCAGGTGAACATGTGTTCAGTGTGTGAGTCTCTGCAGGTGAACATGTGTTCAGTGTGAGTCTCTGCAGGTGAACATGTGTTCAGTGTGTGTTGGCAGGTGAACATGTGTTCAGTGTGTGAGTCTCTGCATGTAGAAGTTGTGTTCAGTGTGTGAGTCCCTGCAGGTAGAACGTGTGTTCAATGTGTGTCGGCAGGTGAACATGTGTTGAAAATGTGAGTCTCTGCAGGTGAACATGTGTTCAGGTTGTCTCTGCAGGTGAATATGTGTTCAGCGTGTGAGTCTCTGCAGGTGAACATGTGTTCAGTGTGTGAGTCTCTGCAGGTGAACATGTGTTCAGTGTGTGAGTCTCTGCAGGTAGAACATATGTTCAGTGTGTGAGTCTCTGCAGGTAGAACATGTGTTCAGCGTGTGAGTCTCTGCAGGTAGAACATGTGTTCAGTGTGTGAGTCTCTGCAGGTAGAACATGTGTTCAGTGTGAGTCTCTGCAGGTAGAACATGTGTTCAGTGTGTGAGTCTCTGCAGGTAGAACATGTGTTCAGTGTGTGAGTCTCTGCAGGTGAACATGTGTTCAGTGTGAAGTCTCTGCAGGTAGAACATGTGTTCAGTGTGGGAGTCTCTGCAGGTGAAAGTGTGTTCAGTGTGGGAGTCTCTGCAGGTGAAAGTGTGTTCAGTAGGAGGCTCTGCAGGTAGAACATGTGTTCAGTAGGAGACTCTGCAGGTAGAACATGTGTTCAGTGTGTGTCGGCAGGTGAACATGTGTTCAGTGTGTGAGTCTCTGCAGGTACAACATGTGTTCAGTGTGTGAGTCTCTGCAGGTACAACATGTGTTCAGTGTGTGAGTCTCTGCAGGTAGAACATGTGTTCAGTGTGTGAGTCTCTGCAGGTAGAACATGTGTTCAGTGTGTGAGTCTCTGCAGGTGAACATGTGTTCAGTGTGGAGTCTCTGCAGGTAGAACATGTGTTCAGTGTGAGTCTCTGCAGGTAGAACATGTGTTCAGTGTGTGAGTCTCTGCAGGTAGAACATGTGTTCAGTGTGAGTCTCTGCAGGTAGAACATGTGTTCAGTGGAGTCTCTGCAGGTGAACATGTGTTCAGTGTGTGAGTCTCTGCAGGTGAACATGTGTTCAGTGTGTGAGTCTCTGCAGGTAGAACATATGTTCAGTGTGTGAGTCTCTGCAGGTAGAACATGTGTTCAGCGTGTGAGTCTCTGCAGGTAGAACATGTGTTCAGTGTGTGAGTCTCTGCAGGTAGAACATGTGTTCAGTGTGAGTCTCTGCAGGTAGAACATGTGTTCAGTGTGTGAGTCTCTGCAGGTAGAACATGTGTTCAGTGTGTGAGTCTCTGCAGGTGAACATGTGTTCAGTGTGGAGTCTCTGCAGGTAGAACATGTGTTCAGTGTGTGAGTCTCTGCAGGTAGAACATGTGTTCAGTGTGAGTCTCTGCAGGTAGAACATGTGTTCAGTGGAGTCTCTGCAGGTGAACATGTGTTCAGTGTGGGACTCTCTGCAGGTGAACATGTGTTCAGTAGGAGACTCTGCAGGTAGAACATGTGTTCAGTGGAGTCTCTGCAGGTGAACATGTGTTCAGTGTGGGAGTCTCTGCAAGTGAACATGTGTTCAGTTGGAGACTCTGCAGGTAGAACATGTGTTCAGTGTGTGAGTCTCTGCAGGTAGAACATGTGTTCAGTGTGTGTCGGCAGGTAAACGTGTTCAGTGTGTGAGTCTCTGCAGGTAGAACATGTGTTCAGTGGAGTCTCTGCAGGTGAACATGTGTTCAGTGTGTGAGTCTCTGCAGGTGAACATGTGTTCAGTGTGTGTCGGCAGGTAAACGTGTTCAGTGTGTGAGTCTCTGCAGGTAGAACATGTGTTCAGTGGAGTCTCTGCAGGTGAACATGTGTTCAGTGTGGGACTCTCTGCAGGTGAACATGTGTTCAGTAGGAGACTCTGCAGGTAGAACATGTGTTCAGTGGAGTCTCTGCAGGTGAACATGTGTTCAGTGTGGGAGTCTCTGCAAGTGAACATGTGTTCAGTTGGAGACTCTGCAGGTAGAACATGTGTTCAGTGGAGTTTCTGCAGGTAGAACATGTGTTCAGTGGAGTCTCTGCAGGTGTTGTGTGTGATTCTAGGTAATACATTCTTCAATCTGTTGATCAGCCCAGGTAGGATTCTACTTGTGTGTATTGTGATGCAACATGAAACATTTCAGTCTGTCTCTATTTGACATCTTGCATATCTATCAGCTGTTCATTTGCAAAGAGAAATTTGCAAAAGGTGTGATGACAATTTTAGTAAAATGTTCCAGATTATTATTGTTGTGTTATTTGTTGTGAAGTTGTGTCCCTTTGTCCCCCCCTTAGGAGGAAAGGAGGAAGCCTATGCGGTGAACTACAGCAAAATGATGATTTAACAATGAACTAATTAAGCTGAAAAAAGTTTGTTTGGAAAGATTATGTGAGGTTTAACTTCGAGTCCAAGATTATTGCATGTTCATAACGATGTGCATGTGTGTTTGGACAGATGACACAGTATCTATCAGAAATCTGAATTTCTAGTCATTAGGAGCGTTTAACACTCGTTGAACTGACTTGAGCTAATGGACTAGTGCCAATTTCCATCCCTTGGGGAATTCCTACTTGCTTGAATAATAGAGACAAAATAACTTAAAAACTACCTTATTTGTAAAACACTCCTTCATAGAAATGTGATGCCAGTAATTGTCAATCAAATATCCTGATATATATTATTAGAGAGTATGGGTTTACGCCATTTACAGCAATATTCCTGCAATATCATGATGGGGGGACGCCACAAATGGGCTTCGAACAATGCACCAATGTGGGGAACCCAACCCGGCCTAAGGCGTGATGAGAGAATGCTTTAACCACTACTATACCAGGTGCTACTGAGTGTATACAGTATCATGGCCACAGCATATTGCAGCAGTGTAGTGACTGATCCACACAGTCAGGCCATGTCACTGACAGATGAGTGAGTCACTTTTGAGAGTATTTCAGTTAAATCACGGCATGTCAGTTTGTGGTGGGAGGAAAGTTCAACGAGATACAAGTTGTCGACTTTTGCCACTTGGTTTTACCCATGATCACAGGCATGGAGCTGCCAACCCAGGAATATCTGGTATTCATCTGTGTAATTACAGACCCATTGAGATTTGGGATGAGAATAGGTCCTTTACTTGTCACACAAGGCGGCAAAACGGATGTTCAAGCTTATTGACTTGCTCCATTCCTTCTCATTGAACCGGTACGTAGGATGTTGCTTGTAATATCAGAGTTTCATTGGTGCAGACTCTATTATTTACAGACTGCCAGAAAAAAATGGAACATTGCTGTGTGCATAGTGAAACAATAAAGAGATTGTAATCAGACAATAACGGTAAATATGTTTCCCCATGTCCTCGTACCATGTGTTCTCTGATGTTATGCTGCAGCTGTTTATGTTGTTTGTTTGTTTGTTGTTTAACGCCGCACTCAGCAATATTACAGCTATATGATGGCAGTCTGTCAATAATCAAGTTTGGACCAGACAGTCCAGTGATTGACATCATGGGCATTGATCCATGCATTTGGGATACGACGACATGCATCAACCAAGTCAGCGAGCCTGACCACCTGATCCCATTAGTCGCCTCTTACGGCAAGCAAGACGGAGTCATGGGCCCAATATGGCATTACAGATGGATGGTCTTGCACAATTTGGACTGCAAAGGTCATAAAGAATAACGGCAGCAAAGCCCATATCTGCCACTGAGCTGGTGTTGCAGAAAGAAACAAGACAAACAAGCAGTAGTATATATCAATATTCTTTACAAATATCCTTACATACAAACATCTGTACACGTTCTTTCACAGAAATCTGTCATATAGTCTCTCATGTCTTCACTTGCATAGGCCCAACCACTGAGCATTGAAGTATTTGAGGAACATTTATGGGGTCGTCGACTCGTTTTGCCATTGTACTGCAACAAGTCAAATTCTACTTTCACATCATTATACAAGTTTATAACAAGCACTGGTTTCAAAGTTCAAATAAGCTTGACTGAAGCTAAGTGTAACACCTCTGCCCATCAGCTTACATCTATTTCCCCGGAGAAACTTGGAAATCAATAATTTTGTACCATCTCATCACTATTGATATTCACCAGCACATCAAGGGGAATAACTCTTTCCTAATGACAGTGTTCATCATGTACTTCCATTAAGTATTATCAAGACGGAATGTTTCCTGAACACACCCGTAAGTCATCCGCCTGGAGTCCTACATCCCCTCCCATAGATAACTGGATCACAGTATTTCATTATTCTACTCCTTGGAGGAAGGAGTATGTCAGTCAGTCCCAGCACCCCGACATGCCACAGTCAGCATTTGAAGAAAGTATCCAAGTCACCACACATGATCACTTCCATGTTTTCTTGGCTCTCCAGTCGAACAGTTCCTCGAGCTCTGCCTCATCCACCTCCCCCTCGCTGTCACTCTGCGTCTCCCGGTCCCCCACCTTCCCTATAACCTCTGCCTTCTTGTCATGGAGGTCCTCAATCTCCTTCCAGCGATTCCTGAAACAATGCCGATGCAACGGTAAATCTTAACTCACCCCAACAATTCCTGGAGCAAACATGGCATGTATCATGTTCATAGTCACACCTGTTGGTTGGTTGGTTTGTTGTTTAACGCCGCACTCAGCAATATTCCAGCTTTATGACGGCGGTCTGTAAATAATAGAGTCTGGACCAGACAATCCAATGATTAATATCATGAGCATCGATCCACGCAATTGGGATCGATTACATGCATCAACCAAGTCAGCGAGCCTTTTACGGCAAGCATGGGTTGCTGAAGACCTATTCTACCCCGGAATCTTCAAATGTTAGTCACACCTGTATGACAAGGGATTCAAGAAAACTGGCAATACTAGCAAGTTTAATTCAAGTTAGTTTGTTTGCTTGTTTGTTTGTTTGTTGTTTTACGCCGCACTCAGCAATATTCCAGCTATATGATGGCGGTCTGTAAATAATCAAGTCTGGCCAGACAATCCAGTGATGGACATCATGAGCATCAATCCACAAGTAGTTCAAAACCCACTTCGTGTCTAATCTTTATGCAGGGGAATTCCTGTGCGTACCGTTCTGATTTTACCAATCTTGTCTCCAAACAAAGGAAATAAACGAATACTGACTCTTGTTAGAACAGTAGGAACACAAGCACAATTATAAAACTCTTTATTATAAAGGGCTTTTATCACACCTCATCCTCTGTGAAATATCTTATACAACTTCTGTCTCTGAATGTGAACGTACATTTGGTCATCTATTTCATCTATGTTCCTCTCGATGTTGGCCTGCTGGTCATCTTCCTCTATAATGTTCTCCGACACCTGTAACGACAAACACAACATCCTACAGCTGCAACATCACAACTCTCACAGTTCAGTATCAAATGGAGTTTGCCTCGTTTCACTGAACAGTATCTGCACTGATATGAACACTACTAATATGACGTGAAAGACCTTCTGGAACCAATTATAGCAGCTTAGCCCAGCTCAATTTTGGTCATTCCTATATTCACTTACTCTTTTAATAGGTGGAAATTGAGTACGACAGGTCGTGGTCAAGAGTTTTCAAACATGAAATCAGTTAAAAATTAATGTTCATTCATACAAATTTGACTTGTCGGGTTTGTTGTATATACGCTGCATATATGCTTATAACGAACTTCGTTTACATTGAACTAATATAAGGGGTCCCTTTGAGTTGGTTATAACCATAGTTTACTGTTTATTCGTTTTCATTATCATCTGTTGTTAAAGGATGGTTTGTTTGTTTGTTTAATACCACACTCAGCAATATAATAATCTAGTCTGGACCAGACAATCCAGTGATTGACATCATGAGCATCAATCCACGTAATTGAGAAACGAAGACACGCATCAACTAAGTCAGCAAGCTTGACCACCTGATCCATTCCGTCGCCTTTTACGATCAGCACAGTCACCTTTTACAGCAAGCATGGGTTGCTAAAGACCTATTCTAACCCCGATCTTCACAGGTTGGGTTTGCTGCGGACTTTCACACAACATCTATAATTATCTGAATTGTCTGAGATTTGAATATGTGATCTCAGTATTTGGTTTCATTATCATCCTGTTGTTGAGTGTGTGAGTATGGTTTTATGCCGCTTTTAGCAATATTCCAACAATATCATGGCCGGGGACTCCAGAAATGGGCTTCACACACTGTACCCATGTCGGGAATCAAACCCGGGTCTTCGGCATGACGAGCGAACACTTTAACCACTAGGCTACCCCACCTCCCCCATCCTGTTGTTGAAGGATGATAGAAGGAAGCCAACACAGACTGATGTTCACTGGACTACAGATGACCAGCAGTGAAAAGAGCCTCATGTAATAAAACAATCTGTAAGTGAACAAAAAGGTCTCGGATATGACACTGTCGTCAGAGCTATCTATGGGCTTGGCTCAAACAAAGAGAGGGCAGTGATAAATGGGTGCTGACAGACCAACAAACTACAACTGTACAACTATGCAGCCAAGGGACACAACTCAGTAGAGATCATTTACAACAGAATGGATGCAAACAGACCTCCTTTTTGCCCAAATTGTCCCTAAGTACATTTACTATCACTGTATTTGCCGCAAAAACACCTCGGGTGCCTATTACATATGGACTGTGATGTAAATGGTCTTGGTATGGGGCAAATGTAAGTAATGCTTACAGATTGGTCGAAGCGTTGATCAGGGGGCGCTTATTGGGTGACTGAGTGATTGAGTATGTTTTTACACCACTTTTAGCAATATTCCAGCAATATCACAGCAAGGGACACCAGAAATGGGCTTCACACAGTGTACCCATGTGGGGAATCGAACCCGGGTCTTTGGTGTGACGAGCGAACACTTTAACCACTAGGCTACCTGACTGCCCCTTATGGGAGCAGGGCCCTGAATACGGAGATCAGGGTATGACTTTACAGACTGGAGTACCGGAAGCCTGTTCGTCCCGAAGGAATGCAAACATGGCCATATGACCTTATATACATACGTGAGATTCTTCTTTCATGGCTCTCCGGAACTGCTCCCACTCCTCCTCCATCTTGTCCTTGTACTCCACCTTCCTCACCTGGAAACACACACACATGGAGTCAGGTATATCTATCAGCACCTGGACCGGGTGAGTATGGCTTTACACTGCCTTTACAAACTGAATAGAGTTGGAATGAACTGTGCAGTCCAGCAGGTCACTTCATTCATGGTTTTGCACCGCTTTTAGCAATATTCCAGCAATATCCCGGCAGGGGACACTAGAAATGGGCTTCACTCATGTACCCATGTCGAGAATCGAACCCGGGAATGGAGCCATGAAGTCAAAAGAAAGACAAGTCCATCCTGAAATCTCTGTCCACTTACCTTTGCATCCATCTTTGGGTCATCAAAAAATCCTTCAGGTAAAATGTCGGCCATTGTTTTGGGCTTTTCTTCAACAGCATCTCCTGATGGCTTGGAGCCTTTGTCGAAGAAATCTGAAAGAATGTTTGTAACATAAGATATAACTTGTTATCCACCCCAGTATACCATTATATGTCCAGCTGATTGGATCTTATTGACTTTGTTCTTACTTTCAACTCAATAATCTTGACATCATTAGATATGAGTAGACCATCCCAAAACAGATCAGAAGGCAATTCCTGGTGAAAATTAGATAAATTAATTCTTCTACCTAATACAACAACAATAGGTTCAAATTTATTTCACAATCCTCTTACACTGGCTCACATGCTTTGAAAGGATTCCCCTGACCTTCCATTAAACAATGTTAAAGATGCAAGATCAAATGTCCAAGTTTTTTACGTTTATTACCATACAACCCCCAAAATATGACATTTATAGCCCTGCCTTTTAAAAAGATCACTAAAATAACTAGAGCTATAACGACACACTTTGCCATGATACAATACATATTTCAAAAGTAATGTTTCAATATGATACACGATACGAGACAGGAAAACCTGACATTTGCCAGACTAGGAAATAATGAATAATCCAAAGGAACTGAAATAATGGTCTACATGCAGCCTGTCCCTGTAGAATGCGTGACGTGAATGGTGCATTTGCAAGATGATCTTCCGTGATATTTGATCATATTGATGCATGTAAATAAGTCTTGAAAATATCAAAATTCGTCAAAATCCCTGCTGATCGTGTAGGTGAAAGTTCGACAAACAATCCTGTCGATCCTCTTTCTCTCAAAGATCTTATTCTGAGAGGGGTAACATTCCTGATCTTGATCATCAATCATTGACTGATCCTCTTGGTACCGATACATGGAACGATAATATAAACTGCAATAATGTCAGCCAGGGTTTGGATACGTAGGTGATGATAATGATGATTGTGGATGATGATTCCAGGGCGTGGGTAGCACATGACGACCCTATCAATCCTCTAATCGAGCAGCCTTATATTGTGAAGATCTTCCCTGTTTAGACATCGTATCAAACTATTATTGTCACATCTTCCCTGAGCCTCATGATGAGGGTTTGCAACGTACACAAGCAGTGGTAGACATGATCGGTACTAAAGGTTGAATATCAAACTGAGAAAGCGCTGATCATAGTGTTCGATGCGATCTAGACTGTCATAACGTCTCTGCGGCAGAGGGTGATGACGATGATCCCGATTCCAACTGTTGAAATGTCGCCAGACTAATAGCAGGCCTGTCATCAGAGCACAACATCTACAATATCCTGGTTAATCCAATCCTGGTGATGTGTAGCTGAGTGAGTAGTATGGTTGTACACCACTTTTCGCAATATTCCAACAACAGCACAGCGCCAAACACCAGAAGTCAGTTTCGTACATTGAACCCATGTGGGGAATCGAACCCGGGTCTACGGCTTGAGAAGCGAATGCTTTAACCACTAGATTACCCCACCATCCCCCATGCTTAGGCTCAGCGAGAATATGGAGATCCTCCTCCTGGTTGTTATAGTGACAACGATCCCCCAAAGTCAATCTACGATCTTGATCCTGTCTGTCCAATCAAAATTCATCTTGTGCTATCGATCTTCTGATAATCATGAAGGAGTATATCAGTCCTGTTAGGGGGAATGTCGATCCCTAGGAGACGGGCATTGATGTGGATCAGCCAATGTAAAGGTAAGTGTCGATACCACAACTGAAGATATCGATCCTCTGGATAGGGGTATCGAAGACGAACTGTAAATCCAAGTTGATGTTTATCCCTGGGAGGGGAGTATCAATGCCGAATGATAAATACAAGTTGATGTCGATCAGTCGATCCATGTCTCTAGGTAGAAACTTGTTGATGTCAACCCCTAGGAGAGGGGTATGGATGACGATTGGTAGATTCATGTTGATTGGTTGACCCATGTCGATACCTAGTTGAGGAGCATCGACATTGATCTGTAGATCCCTGTCGATTGATCAATCTTCTATAGCATCCCTAGGAAAGGAGTATTGATTTCGATCGGTCGATCCATGTCAATGTTGATCCCTAGTAGAGAGGTATCCATGTCAAAAATTTAATTTAAGCATTTAAGCCTCTTCCTCATTTTATCAGTGAAATACAAGTCCCTTCGACCTAGTGATCAGTTATAATTAATAACAACTATACTAACATGAATTGAGAAACAGCAAAGAATATATTAGTCAGGACAGATTGCTATGGAATCTGTCGACACACATATAATGACTCACATCAACTAAACATCTACGGAACACATTTTGTTGGGCTTCTATTCTATGACGGAATACGGTTGCAATCATGTACTGACTTCTTATGTATCACAATGCATATCATATCACGATCTTGCTATTGTGACATGTGTATCCTGACAGCCATGTTACCCTGACTCACTGACCTGTTGGGAGACCAGTTACCCCTGGCTTGGCAGTGCTGGATGTCCTATCATCACTGTCTTCTTCGGACGATGATCCATAATCTGCCAGCAACGAGTTGGTTTGTTGCTGACTTTTAGTGGACGACTTGTCAAAGAAATCAGCTGGAAGACTGTAGAAAGATAGACACTCTTTGCTTTCATGCACCAAACATGTCAAAAACATGATCAAGTTGAAACAGACAATACACTATTGTTTCTTTATTTCAACAGGCCTGATTTCTTATCATTAAAAATGCATCTGACGTAGAGGTGAAAATTAATAAACCAACAGGTTAAGGCAATACATATGGTACAAGACCCTAGTTTCATATATCATGAAAGTAGGTAATTCTGTGTTGTTGCAACACTACGGAACATTTTAATGAGTGAGTATGGTTTTATGCAGCTTTTAGTAATATTCCAGCTATATCATAACGGGAGACATCAGAAATAGGCTTCACACATTGTACCCATATGGGTAATTGCATCCGGGTCTTCGGCGTGACGTGTGAACACTTTAACCACTCGGCTACCCCACCGCCCCCAGAACATTCTAAACATCAATCATGTAACAATACTGCACTTGTGATAATATCTATCCAATCAGCAGCAACTTGTGATAATATCTATCCAATCAGCAACAACTTGTGATAATATCTATCCAATCAGTAGCAAGTTGTCATAATATCTATCCAATCAGCAACAACTTGTGACGTGTGATAATATCTAACCAATCAGCAGTGTCCTGAGAAAGAAAAGAGAAGTCACAATGCTTACCCTGTCTGTTTTGCAGATGATCCATTTTGACCTGAGAAAACACAGTTTATTTATTATGTTAGTATTTGAAATAAACATCCATGATGCAGCATGTTTTACACCCTAATTTATGTCTCACAAAACCTTTACACCAAAGGCCATGTTTAGAGCTAAGTACTGCTCTTTACTGTATATGGATCACACACAAATCCATGGCCTTACATCAAGAATGTGGACATCATTGATACCTTTCAGAAATATCTACATGATATATTGACATATATCTCTTCTCTTTCCTGAACATGTTAAAATACAAAAATAAAAATTCTATTAAATTTTTTCTCTTCCAAGCCATGCTTACATGCTTACATTAAAAGACATGTTCAACTAACGAAAGGTCATTATCTTGTTGGAATATATTACTTTCATCAGAATATTCACTGTACTGACAAAATGAAAAACTTATCATTCAGAAAAGAAATGCCTCAAATTTCAAAATCTTACTTTTCAACTTCTTGCTTTGAGAAGCTCCAGAATCAGTATGTGAACTAGTTCTCTTGATAGTGGCAGGCAATGGTGGCCCCACAACTGCCTTGGCTGCCACATACTGTCAAATACAGTGATTAACATGATTAATACTGTTCATGTATGCACATCAGGGGCTGTTCCATGAATCTGAATAGCTTAACTGGACTCCACCATGTTCTGTGCAGTCTGGGGGTAGGGGTGGCCCAGTCATCTAAGCCACTGCAATTTGCGGTGCAGAGTTGCATCCCTTGGAAACGCCAGATACTTATTGTGGGTTCGAATTCCCATTATCCCCAATTTTGCTTCTAGGTTGTCACCACCATACCTGTGCTTGTGGCATTCACGAAAATGGTAAACCTCTAAGACCTGTGTCACTTCAGGCTTCCCTCCCACATTAAGCCAACATGATGTAACTGAAATACCTCATTCACTCATGCATGTCTGCAAATATCATGAACATTCACATTTAATCGAAGGGAGTAACCCAAAACACTTATTTCACAATGGAGCGCCTATCTAGCTTATGTCATTAATTCTAGACAAAATGACTCAGTCATAAAGTAACTTGTTCCTATTATCCAACCTATATAACTGTTCACATGCATTGGGAGGCAACAGTAATACTGATCAGTCAGTACATAAAACGTGATAACGTAGTCCGGGATACAGGGTTTTGTTATATATCTGTATAATGTTACCCCCTAACAAGCTAGAAAAGTGAAGTTTTTTGTCTCACTACCATATGCATGTATGAAGAGTTTAACATATCATTTGTACCTTGAGCAATTGACATGTTTGGGTGTAAGGCTGTAAAGAGTCACTGAATATTGGTTGATCGTGATAATTTGTTTCACAATGTTACATCAAGATAAAACAATACATGTATGAAAAAAGTTCAATTTTTTAATTATTATATATTTTCTCATACACAAGTTCTCAAGCAATAACTGACTAAATCTACAACATTGCTCTGGTCAAGACTCCTCTGCTATTGCCTATGATGATGGATTATGCCACCTTAACATGGCAAGGGTCATGTTTTCACAAATGATATCACCACACAAACAGAAGTAACTTAATCAACATGATCATGTTAATATCAACATGATCAAGATAGTTTTAATTAGGATTATATAGGAGTAGCTATAAAATCATTCCAAAATACCTTAATATAGTCTAGTGTCTTGTATACCAAATCAAAACATGATGATGACATTTATCTCATGGCAAACTTAAGTCAATTCCTTATTTCATCATGTACATATATTTATTATTGCCATGTGTACTGGTACCTCTTTATGAGATCTGCTCTGTATGTGTGCCGCCCACAATAGGTCCGACTTAATGGTTATGTTACATACAGTGCACACGAGCTGGTTCAGACTGTTGTATCTGAAAGAAAACAACATTATATAAAAGTATTAAAATATTCCTGTATCATTAAAAATATATAATGCATTCCATGGATTCGTCCACATGTATAGTTTCTGATTTCTAGCGTTACGAGGGATCTCTTCCTCATTTACACATCGTATAGCCCTAACTTGTACACTTTGACAAGGTCTTACTGCTTGAAAACGCAAAACTACACTACTTTGCATGGGCGTGTTCAACTCTATTGGATGACTTTAATGTTGTCTGCTTTTGTTTCATCAAACGGCGAAGTTCATCTTTCGACACAATTTTCTTCTTCTTACTCGACGCCATTTTGAACGTTTAGATACAGCCGCAGATGCGACAAAAATTCATTTCGGATAGATCCCAAGATTATAACTGTTTATTAATCACATAATACATTTATATCATTAAACGCAGATACGTGTACTTACAGTGTACGTTTGTATGTGTACAAGGTATTTTATAGCACAAACATTCAGAAATGCATGGAATACGAAAATAAAGACATAGCTTAGCTTGCATGTAGGCACACAGCGCGAAAGAATAAGGTGCGAGACATATCTCATACTGAAAATGTTATTTCAACTCTGTTTTATACTTTGACACATTTCGTAAAGCTTTTGCCACGCGAAAATGTCTTGGCCCTTATGCCTTCATTGAATTTTTCGAACTGTCACAGGTGTCATTATTGTCAGAACACAAATCTTCGTCTCTTAGACGAGAGAATGAACAGCTGATTAGACCTAATGAGAAAAGATCCGGGACGAATTGTTTCATACCGGCACATTTTCGAACAAGATGTTCATATGCCATGCAAACCACCAGTTTTAAAATGGCTACATGTACGTTCATTATAACGGGGTCTAGTGCACTTTACAAGATGCACTTTGTGCATTTCAGTTAGCATCTAGATTTCTAAGATGATAAAAGCTCAGGAATTCTGTATCGTAGGATACATGGATTGTAATTTTCTTCCCATGGCATATAGGCTTCTAATACAGGGGGATATAGTCATAATCTGGTCTGTCTGTCAATCTGTATTTCGTTTCTGGAGCCTAGCTTGAAAACCGTTAAGTTTTATTCCAAACTTATACATGAATTAACCAGGGGCTGAAGTGGTGCCTTTTTCTATTGTGGGGGCTAAGGGGAATTTGTCATCTTCTGATGACTCTTGTCTTTATTTGTGTAAAGCTATGAATTCCTGTTGGTAAAGGGATCCCAGAGCCTACCATAATAAAGATTTAAACTTTCAAGATGTTTCTCCATTACCAGCTGATTACCTTCAAACACACTTTACCTTCGGTATGGGGCAAGTCAATTAGTGAGAAGGCAGTAAACTGGCCTCATGATGCCCATTATGTGAGTGATATGAGTTTGTTTTGTTTTTAATTAAGATTTTCCTTTGTTGCAGAAGCTGCAGAATGTTAAAGGTGGTTGGACCTACACTTTGTTGGAAACATGGAAGATGTTTCTTTACTCTTGTACATCGGTCAAAGTCCTCAAAGAGCGATGTCAGAAAAATCATTAACTTAAGGCGGGAAAATGAATTACTGTTTGGGCCTGTGCTCAAAGGAAAGGACTTGGAACCAAAGAAAAACAAAACAAAAAAGAAGAAATCTGTAAAAGATGGGATAAGTATTATAATGGAGCAAGCTAGAACACAGATAGTTGATCAGGTGGATGAGGCTGACATACTTGATGAGTCCAGCATATCTTCAACAAGTGGAGCCAAGAAAACAAAGGCAAAATCCAGCAATGCAGCCAAAACAACCAGAAAGAAAAGCTTGTCTACAGAGCAGACAGTTTCAAGTAAAAATAAGACATCTACTAGTTCTAGGGCTCAGACACCAAATGGCAGTGAATCAGGTGAACAGGCTCCATCATTGTTTGAGTTTGTGCTGAACTTTCCACTTGATATCAAGACAGACATGACCGGTGATGAGTCTTCTGACTTTGGAAAGCAGGTTGAGCAGATGAGTTTGAGAACTCTCCCTACAGTCAGTAGTGTCATAAACAAAACACAGTCGGACATGGCTCGTTTCTTTCTTCAGCGATGGAGAGAGACATCCATAGCAGAGCTTGGCAAAGAGGAATTCTACAAGAAGCAGGAAGGTAGGAACACAGACCAAGACTTCCATAAAAACAATAGCATTGTCCATTTGGGGTTTAAGGTTCATAACATCATGACAGGGACGGCACATATATATATAGCCTTGTGGGGATTACAGGTCATAACATCATGTCAGGGACCAGACAACACATACATGTAGGGATTACAGGTCATAACATCATGTCAGGGACCAGACAACACATACATGTAGGGATTACAGGTCATAACATCATGTCAGGTACCAGACAACACATACATGTATGGATTACAGGTCATAACTTCATGTCAGGGACCAGACAACATATACATGTAGGGATTACAGGTCATAATTTAACATCATGTCAGGGACCAGACAACATATAAATGTACATGATGTACGGATTAAAGGTCATAACATCATGTCAGGTACCAGACAACATATACATTTAGGGATTACAGGTCATAACATCAAGTTAGGGACAATACAACACATACATGTATGGATTACAGGTCATAACATCGTGTCAGGGACCAGACATCACATATATGTAGGGATTACAGGTCATAACATCATGTCAGGGACCATACAACACATACATGTAGGGATTACAGGTCATAACATCGTGTCAGGGACCAGACATCACGTTAGGGATTTCAGATCATAACATCATGTCGGGGACCAGACAACACATACATGTATTGATTACGGGTCATAACATCATGTCAGGGACCATACAACACATACATGTCGGGATTACAGGTCATAACATCATGTCAGGACAAGATAAGACACACATGTAGGGATTACAGGTCATAACATCATGGTAATATTGTAAGTATCGTAACTCATACCATATCATATAAAAGAGACAATTGTTTGTATCCCAGGGATCAAACATGACGGCATCAACCTCCATGCTTGTATCCAGCAATTTCTGTCTGGGCGCAGCATCAGTGACATCCAGATACAACCACGCTGTGAAGGCTACTGGGAGAGCGTACGTGAAACGCTGGACAAGGTGGGAGAGGTCAAGGCCGTGGAGGGCAAGGTGGTCCATCCCCAGCTGATGTATCAAGGCACCTACGACTGTGTGGCCTCCTTCAGGTATGTCAAGTGGCAGCATTCGTAGCTCAGGATAGCATCAAATTGAATTTATGAATAAATTCATGGAATTTCATAATAAATGGGCAGTATACAAAAATATATTTCCTGGAAACTAAGACCAGCTTTTTTTTATGTTATTAACATTATTGTTGTTGTGTTGTTTTTTTGTTATTTGGTTTTCTTATTTATTTTTTAACACGTTTAAGGGAAGGGCATGACTGTCTGAGTGAATGAATTATACATGCAAACACCAAGCAGAATTCTGTAGATAACTCTATTTATTATTTTACTCTGTACAACCTAGATTCTGGAAATAAAGTATTAAAAATATATATAAATAAATACATCAGTACACTATTACAATAGTAGGGGGAGGGGAGCTAGGATTTAAGAAATAACAATCTGTTCCAGAAAACGCTCTCCCCCACCCCCACCCCACCCCCAAAAGTACATAGGTTTTGCCTGAAAAAATATATCATTTACCACGTTTTCTAGAAATGCTGGATGTTGGGTAAAAAGTTTCTATTGTTTTATTCCTCCATTCAGAGATAGAATTTGTATGTTTTTGAGCGCTGACTGAAAAATATTGAAGATTCCTCTCTCTGGACTTAGTGGGGATTCTGGGGTTAGAACGATTCCCCAGCAACCTGTACTGGTCGTGCGAGGCGACTCTGTGTATTAGGTGGTCCGGCTTTGTGACTTGATTGCATGTCATTGTACTCCAATGGCGTAGGATGTTGAACATTGAATCCATCTCTGGTTTAAGTGGTCCAGATTTTGTTATTTACAGCCTGATGTCATATAGTTAGAATATGGCCGAGTGTGGCGTTAAACAATGACCAAACAAATCAAACCTGAGGTCGAGACACAATTTGATAGGGGTACTTGAATCTGTACCCAAACAACACAATGAAAGAATTGAAATCCTGGAGTCAACCCTGTCTTCATTGATGTTCCTGCCACTAAATATCCTGGATAAATGACACTAGAAGATATGAGTATTTTGACTTGTATTATCATCTTCCCAATGACAATTGCATTGATCATGATGATAGTTCACTCAATTATTATATCTCTTGTCTACTCTGGGACATAGTTACTATATTTAGCTTGTATCACATGTGTCATGTGATAACTCTCATTGCCTCAACCAATCAGAGGGCACTAAAGTTATGCAATCTTGAAAACAAATTAAAGTGTTTACAGTCTGTTGCTTAATGAGTCTACCACTAATCTAGTCTAACACACACACACACAGGATGTCGCATAGATATATGTTCCTTATGTTTGTATTCAGGTCTAAATTCTTTCTAGCAGTGTTCAGCTCTTTATATTTAGACTTTCGTACCCTATTGTGAGTGTCTTGGCTGAAGGTTGCTGCATGACCAACTTGTGAGCTAACAACGCTTTTCCTTTTGGTGGCATTGCTGGATCTACTAAGAAAACTTAAGTATTTAAGACACTGCTAAAGCGTATATATGTTGTTTAAAGTGAGTGAGTGTTTGTGAAATGACATCATGACTATCATTGGTGACAGTAAGCAGAAGTGTTGGTTTGTTAGGCCACAAGACCATATTTTACTGTTATGATTATTGTGTATCATAAATGCAATTAAAGTGTGTTTACAACCTGCTCTCAAAAACATTAGGTTTCCCTTTCTTGCCATCTTCCCAAGGCAAGAGAGTTAACTGACTATAAAAGTCCAGTTTCTACCCTTGCCGAACTAGGCTGGTATTATGGAGTTACATTTTGGCTGGACTAACAAGTCTATGCATAGTCCAATCAAAATCACGCACCGAAATCAAAATCCGGTTAGTAAACTGTCATGCAGATTTCGGTCAACTCGTCAGCAGATATTTTCCAAATCTTTTCATGATTTAATCAAGGTGCTCACGTGATTTGATGCATTTCGCGATGTGATTTTATAATGTCACAACTTATTAAGTTAAAGTCATTGGTGTAGTTACTATCATGACTATGTAGCACAAAAAGCAAGTGCATACTTTGAAATCATTTAAAAAATCAATCAAAATGTATATTTTTTAAAGTGTACCATAAGTGTACCATATCTTCTTTCAGTTGTTTGTGATAGTTACATGACATTTGGTTAATTTAGATATTGACAGGGCTACTATTATCAATTATGAAAATTATCATTCATGAGATCGTTCGAAATTGTTGTGTTTCCTTGTTGCATTAGTTTTTGAAGATATCTGGGTTTTATCACAATGATCAAACTCTTCTACATTCGCCAATTATGTCCAGAATGTGATAGGGGTATCTTGTGATAGCTCTGTCATATGTCTGTTTTGGATATATTGTATGTTGTCAGCTTGTGTTTTTTCTGTTTGATAACTGTTATACCGTATTCCACGTAATAAAATTAGAAATAAGGGGCTCTTATTAGAATATCATTTTGGTAAAAAAAAACAGAGTTGAAAGATAAATTTCGTGGTTTGTGCTGACAGCCTGAAATGTTTATGTACGACAGATATATTTTTCCAGTATTGAATTGCCCATAATTAAGGCTGCATATAACACATGAGTGTTTATTATACGAGAATAAATAAGTCTTGTGTACATTGATCAATCGGAAGGGGTGCTAATTGGGATTGTTAACTAGCCAACATATTAGCAAATATCGACGTGGGCACTTATTAGAGCGGGGCTCTTATTACGTCGAATAAGGTAAGCGTAACATAAAGATGAAACATATTTGCTTACATTTTAATTTCCCCTAGCTACGCCCCTGAAAGTGTCTCACACTGAAGCCCCGGCTGTAGGTAGCCAGTCAGCACTTGTATGTCAGGATACCCTGATCACTAGGACTGATGCTACCACTGAAATAGTGCTGACTACAGCAGAAATCCCTCCTCTCTCCCCAGATCCCAATTAGTTTAACAGAATAACACAGAGTCTGTGACTCAAGCTTGAATTTTTAATCCGAAAATTCTGACACAGTTGTTTGTGAGAAGATGAGTTTGTACTAGGTATGCCATGTGTATAAGTTCATTACCCTGGGAACCTAGCTGTAGACTAAACACATTGAAACCTGATTGGAATGTTTGGTGGCTGTTGACAAGGGACGTAAATATAGCAGTGCTAATAATATTGAGTTGGAAGAGTTACTTCCCTTTGGCTGGGTTCTCACTGCTTCTGATCATGGTGAAGTCTGTCTTTAAACTAAACCTTTGAAGTTCTAAATGAAGGCCACGTTAGATACATATGTCGATAAACTAGACACAATGTGATACGGGTCCCGATACACCAGAATAACACATAGTCCATGCACTGAAACACTTGTGTATTTATGATGTGTGAAAAAATGGCGACATACTGTTACTTCATTGTAAACTGTTCTGATCATATAAAGGTCATTGTATCATGCAATAGTCACCCATGAATGCATGCTCATAGTGCTTCTTGAAAACACACGTAGAAAGAGAATTAAGAATAACAAGTATGAAATACTCATATTGCCCGCCAATATGACATGTCCGGTTGTGTGCAGGCATTAACCTCTGTGAACCAAGTCAAAGTCATTGCTGTGGATCCTCGAAAAAAATATTTTTTTTAAATCCCGAACTATCAAAAGGGACCAGTTCACCACTAGACCTATCTCTGTGCCAAGTTTGGTTAAGATATCTCTCATGGTTTTTTAGTTCTGCTCCGGAAATGAAACATGACGGACGGACAGAGACAAACTGCACCCATTCCTATATCCCCCTTCCACTTTTTGGTGGGGGATAATAAAGCTTTACAGATGAGTTTTCAGAACAGCTGCTGATGTTGTTAGAGATGGAGGCTGCTTGATGACCAAAGGTAGAGAATTCCTCAGTGTGGGTGCTGAGTGTGAAAATGATCTGTAGACAAAGGATTTTACTTGTCTTTTTGGGATTGTTGGCAGCTCTTGATTCTCCGATCAGAGGCTTCTGACTGGAGTGTATTCATTGAAGAGCTCGGTCAGATATTCTTGAACTGTTCCGTGCTTTCACTGATGTGTTGTTGAAAGAATCTTGTGTTCAGTTCTTGAGCCATCACAGGTAGCCAGTGTAGAGCCTTTAGAACAGGTGTGATATGCTGCTTCATTTCTCCACTGCACCTAATGCAGGTTGCTGATAACTATCTGCAGGATGGATAAACTGGCTGCACAACTGATAAACTGGCTGCACAACTGATAAACTGGCTGCACGACTGATAAACTGGCTGCACAACTGATAAACTGGTTGCACAACTGATGAACTGGCTGCACAACTGATGAACTGGGTGCACAACTGATGAACTGGGTGCACAACTGATAAACTGGTTGTACAACTGATGAACTGGCTGCACGACTGATGAACTGGCTGCACGACTGATGAACTGGCTGCACGACTGATAAACTGGCTGCACAACTGATGAACTGGCTGCACGACTGATAAAGTGGCTGCACGACTGATAAACTGGCTGCACAACTGATAAATTGGCTGCACGACTGAAAAACTGGCTGCACAACTGATAAACTGGCTGCACGACTGATAAATTGGCTTCACGACATACTTTACTGTACCCTGTGAAGATCCGGGGTAGAATAGGTCTTCAGCAACCCATGCTTGCCGTTAAAGGCGACCATGCTTGTCGTAAGAGGCGTCTAACGGGATTGGGTGGTCAGGCTCACTGACTCGGTTGATACATGTCATCCATCCCAATTGCGTGGATCGATGCTCATAATATCAATCACTGGATTGTCTTGTCCAGACTTGATTATTTACAGACCGCCGTCATATAGCTGGAATATTGCGGAGTGGGGCAAAGTTAAACAACAAACAAACAAAACAAACATACTTTACTGGAAACATCAACATGTATTAGCGAAGATTGGTGATCTCTAGTGTACATAAACAGGATACGAACATGAAAGTAATTATATTTGATTATGTTTAGATCTTGTATACATTATAAAAAGTTTAAGGAAATCAAAGTTATTAGCCTGTTTGTAGAAATATGTTACCGTTTTATTT